GCGGCGGAGCGCAAGCGGGGTGAGCGGCAGGACGGTGGCGACGGCAGCGGCCTGGATGAGGAGACGGCTGGGCGGAAACGCGGCCGCGAGGAGGAGCTGCTGCTGTTGGAGGAGGACGACTACGGAATCATGTGAGTGGCGAGACGGATTAAGGCAGGCAACCCCCTCTCCCCCCTCCACAACAACAACAAAAAAGAAATGAACACAGAAGTAAAAGGTGTTTTTTGAGGCGTCTGCTGGTGAATGTCAGTGACGGATGGCTTTGCTTTACCCTCTTTCTCTACTGGAGTGTACTTGCGGATGCAGTGGAATATGCTCTTCTGCCTTCTCTTCCCTCACGGTCTTCTCCTCATTTCTACACATGTAGTGCAAAACACAGCTGCACCAGGAGACTATACCCTGGCGGCGTCGGCGGGGGGTGGGCGGGCAAGTGGCGCCCCTCTAACAAATGACATCGGGAGGCTGCTGTCCTTCTGCTGCTGTTCCTGATTCTTCGTTCTCCTGCGTTGGAGCCAAATTATACCAGTCAACTTTCCTGCCTGCGCTGCAGCATCTCTACTACGGCTTCAAGCGTGGTACCGGGTGTGAGATCTCGTCAAGCTCCGCTCTCTTGGGTATCTTTGGGTTGCTGCTTGCTGTGGGTGGTGTCCATCACACAGCGGCACGATTGCACCTGTGGCAGCCTCGTGTGCCCTCACCACCACCACCACCCTCTGCTGTCTCACCCGAGGGGGAGAGCTTGCAGTCTGTTTGCTACTACTGGACGCAGTTAAGCGACGTGATTGTGAAGGCCCCGCGCACATCAGAAAGGGAAAGGAAGAGACACCTTGATCTACCCACAGCAGCTGCTGCTGCGGGTGGCCTCGTGCCCGAGGCTGTGCGGATTCTATGGGAGGATGAGGTGCGGTACTCCTTGGATGAGCGTGAAGTCATTGCGCTACTGCGCCGCACAGTGAGGTCGGTCAGTAATGGCGGGGTACCGGAGGAGAGGAAGGAGGAAGTCATCATTTCTGCTGCTTCACTGGCGCTGCTATGGCGTCTGCAACTGGTGCGCTCTGTCCACGAGGCGCTGGTGGTCGCAGGGGATGTGAACCGCTGCAGCAGCGATCTTGACGACCTTGAAATGTGCTCTGCGCTCTTCCACAAGTCGTTCATTCGCCCACTTCCGCAAGTTACGGCTGCGGCCTTCTTGGCCTGCTGGGCGTGCCTCTCATCTGAATTATTACAACTGCGGTGCCATCGACGTGCGCTGCAGCTACGTAACACGTGGAGCTTAGCCCGCTACGTGTACACCGGTGGTCCGGAGAAGCTGCTGTCGTCCGTGATGATATGTGTGCTTACTACCGTTGGTGCACGCAGCGCCTGCGCCGGGCTGGCCGTGAGGGAGCGTGTTGGACAACTGCTTCGCACTGCCTCACTCCAGTTGCCGCTGTTTCGCCCCCCGGAGACGTTTGACGGCCTCTGCGGTAGTCGCTTCAGTTCCACGGCGTTGCAAACCACTGCGTATGCCCTTGGAGGTCTCTTGGCGCTTGAGTGGGCACGCCTTGTTATCACGGCAGCGGTTGGGCGTGTCACGCGGGACTACATCCGCATGTGTGCATCGCGGCATCGTGACTCCGTCAAGCGGCGGCTGTACGAGGCGCTGGCCCACACCCCGCTGAGCTTCTTCGACACCCTCGACCCCGACGATGTGGAGCAGCTCCTGTACTACGCCAACGACCTTGAGGGTGTCGATGTGCACGTGCACGACTTCATCGTGCGTGCGGTGCAGGCGGTGACGGCACTCGTGGGCGCAGCAGCGGCACTCGACCGGCAAAGCCGAGTGGTTGTGGTGGCCACGGTGGCTACAACAAATTTGCTCACCAGCGCCTTGGCGTTCCTGCGCAGGTGCTGCAGCGTGGACACAGCGGACTGGGACGAGAGCTGCAGCATCTGCGCAGACGACGTGGAGGAGGTGGAGAACGGGTGCACCGCGACGGACGGCATGATGCTGCGCGGGATGGAGATCATCGCCCACATCCGCGAGCTGCGGCCGTATGGCGCTGACACGACACTCATGTCTTGGTGGACGGCGCGCACCGCGCGGTACCAGCGGCAGCCTGACGACATACAACACGTGCTGCGGTTGGTGCTTCGCTCCCGCCGTGTGTGGGCCATTGACGCTGTCACGTCCCTCACCGAGTGGCTGCTGCCGGCCATTGTGGCCGCACACGCGGCGGTGACGTGCCAGCAGCACGGGATCCTCATGGAGGCCATCCGCGCGGTGCAGGATGTCATACTCACGGCGGCGGACGCGCAACGGGTGTCAGAGGTGGTGCTGAACAACGCATACAAGGCGAACACACTCGAGCGCATGCTGGACTCCCGGCACTGGGAAGATGAGGAGGAGGAGGAAGTGGGGGAAGCAGCAGTGGGAGAGGGGGCGGACGAATGGCGTGCCGCTGTTGCCGCCGCGACGGCTGCGGAGGTATGTAACCATCACCATGGGCAAGAAGGAGGTGCAGATGCCGAGGTGTGTGGCATTCGAGCCCACAGCCTGCAGTTTCAATACCCAAGCGCCCCAACAGTGAACGCACTCGTCATACCCGCCACGTTCAGCGTGCAGCTGCAGGATGAGGTGACGGGTACAGGAAGACTCGTCTGTGTGACGGGGCCGAGCGGGTGCGGGAAGACAACGCTGCTGCACCTTCTACTTGCACTGTATAAGGCGAAGCCGGGCAGCTTGATGGTGCAGCTGCGACGGCGACGCCGCACGCAGGTCACATCCACCGAACACATACAGCACAACGACAGCAACAGCAACAACGGCAATGTCGAAGGCGGTGGACAGTGGATCCCCGTCACGTGCATTCCCCGGGGATTCCTCCGTACGACTTTGTTCAGCTACGTGCCGCAGACCGCCACGCTGTTCCCTGGCGCCACCATCGCACAGAACGTCTCGCTGCAGAGTCACGTCTCCGTCACCCACACATCGCTCCTGTCGCGGGTGCGGGCATGCGCGCTGGCTGCGGGCTGCGGCGACTTCATCAAACGGCTGCCACAGGGACTCCTCACGCCGCTCTCTGTTTCCGGCGGCTGGGGGACGGCCGGTGCGGTGCAGCTGAGCTGCGGACAGGGACAGCGGCTAATGCTCGCACGCGCCCTCTTCCACGGCGGTGGTGTGCTGCTGATGGATGAGCCCACCTCTGGCCTTGACAGCGCGGCGAAGCGGGCGGTGATGGCGCAGTGGCGCGAGCTGCTGCGCTCGGGGCAGGTGCGCGGTGTGGTGTGCGTCACGCACGACGCGGAGGTGCTGGAGGAGGCGGATGAGATTGTGCGGCTGTGAGGTGACGCGGGATGTGCCGCTTTTCGTGTTATGCGTATCTCTGAGAGCATGTTTGTGTGCGTGTGTGCGCCCTGCTGCTCCTGCACTGGCGAGGGGGGCCTGTTCCACCGAACAGCTTCCTCTCCCCCCCCCTTCTTCCCGAATTGCGCAGCGGACATGATGGCACATGCGCTTAAAGAAGGAAGAGAAACGGAATGAAGCTGAGGAGGGAAAGCGCCAAACGACGCGGGCTCTCCCTTAATGTTTCTCAGCTCTCTAAACTTTTGTTGGGATTATAAATCCTGTTTCGTCCTTCATTTTTGTTGTTGTTGATGTTGTTGTTGTTTATTTGTTTCTGCTGTGGAGTTGGACGCATTTGCGTGTGTGCCTGTGCCTTTGTGTGTGTGCGTGTGTGTCTTTTGGGCACCCGCACCTGCAGCATGTGCGCTGACGCAACTCACACTCTTCTCGCCCCTTCTGCTTGTGTGCCTCCCTCACTGCCCCCCACCACACACACACACACACACATACACGCATACATACATACATGCTGCAGAAATTGTGTGGCGTGAGACGAGTGGCGAGCAGCAGCACCACCCTCAAGGCGGAAATAGCAAATGAGGGTGTTTGATGCTACGATGGGGGCATCAAGCCCGGTTGCGTCGCATGAGAGTGACAGTGCGTTCCTGCGCGAGATCACGGACCTGACGGCGCCCGGCCATTATACACACATTTCCCAATGGACACTACAGAAACGACTCTGGCGCTTCCGCACCTCCCGCCTTGGTCGCCCCACGCGACGCTCGAAGGTGGCACCACACCACCACGGTGAAGACGAGCACGAAGAGAGCGAATCCGGTAGCGGCAATAGTGATTCCTGCTGCGGCCTTTGCTCATGGTGGCGACGAGACACGAGGAGCAAGGAGGAACATCATCATCGTCATCAGTCCTTCGGCTTCGCCATGACAACGGGGCCGAAGCACTTTTTCCAGCGCATCGTTCGACAGCACCCTGTGCTTGCAATGTGCATGTGGGCATTTCTCTTTATATGCGAGGCCACAATGGTTGTGCTGTATGTTGTACAAACGACGCGCTCATACGACGTGTCGTGGGTGCAGTACGAGGAGTCGGAGTTCACGCGGTTTTTCTACGCTCACACGATACTCTCACTCGTGTTGCTCTCACAACTTGTGTTTGCGTATTCGGTGTCGCCCTTCACCATAGCTGTTGTGCTTGTGACGTCATGCTATCAGCTCATCACGTTCGTTGTTGCGTTTGGCAAGGGATTGGGGTGGGTGAGCCGCCTATACGTGCCGCTCTTCCTCCGCTGCTGGCCCATGCGACAGTACTTTCTCTTTCTACTCGACTCCTTCGCGATGCTGACGCCGCGTAATCACCGTCTTGACCTGATTCGACTTGCGGCTGGTCCTATTTCATTCTTCCTCACAATGTTCTTTACATGGGGTTGTATCTTCCATATACATCAGGTGCTCCGCGGTACAGAGATCAATATCGGTGTCGCAATGTATTGGCTCATGGTGACGGTGTCAACGGTCGGCTTCGGTGACGTTGTTCCGCAGGGTCGTGACGGCCGTGCCATTGCAATAGTTATCATATTTCTCTTCCTCGCCAACATGCCGTCGTGGATTGCGGTGGTGATATCAACGAGACGTATTCTGCGCGAGTTTCCCACCTACAATGGCAGGCGGGACCACTTCCTCGTCTATGGCCACGTGAGGTACGAGGACGCGGTGTCGATTCTCGAAGAAGTGTTCACCTTATATCCAATGAAGTCTGTCTGCTTCTGCAACAACAAATTCTCCCGCGATGTGATGGCGATCGGTCGCCACCCGCGGTACCGGATGCGCAGCAAATTCATGCAGGTGGGTGTGCTTGACAAGGGGACGCTGCGGCGCATGCAGGTATCGGAGGCCGCCGCGGTTATCATTCTCCCCACCAGGGACGGCGCCCCGACGACACGCGACGACGACGTCATGCTGTCCTCTGTTGTGTTCCAGCGTCACGCACCGCATTTGCCGCAGTATCTGCGCCTGCGTTTCGGCCTGCACGCGAGACTCTTGCGGGAGCGCAAGAAGACTATGATTGATCAGAGCATGAAGACCATCATGGCGACGGCGTTGCTGCTGCCAGGCGTTGTGCCGTTCCTTGTGAATTTGGTGCGAATCTCCTCCGCTTGTGGCACCTCCTCACCGACGCTGTGGAAGGTGAGCGAGATGAACAATTGGAAGGCGTTGTACGAGTACAGCAGGCGCAACATCTTCGGCACGTGTCCCGTGCCTTGGTACTTTGTGCACCTTCCACTGATGCGGGTTGTGCGGTACATGAAGCTTCACGACGTGCTCGTTGTAGGCGTGGAGGAGGGCTCGCGTAAGTTGATGCGCCTCGACCTCGACTATGTCCTTGAAGAGGGCGATACGTTACTTGTGCTACACGAGCGGGGTAGCGACAGCGTCACTCGCGCACTTGTCGCTCTAGAGCCACAGGGTGGCGCCATTGCCAGCACCTTCGCCGGCGCCAGCAGCCCGGTGGCGGGCAGCGCGTCGTTACAGATGCACGGCTCACCCGGTGCGTCGCAGCAGGACCTATTCGAGTTTGAGTTGGAGGACTCCGGCACACCAATGGATGACTCCAAGCTGTTTTACCCATTCAACAGGAGTTTTGACTTGCTAGACGCCGCGGCGGATGAGACCCTGCCCATTTTGCACGGTGGGAAATCCGGATTATATTCGTCGCGGCACAGGACTTCCCATCGTGAATTAAACCGCTACGAGACAGTTCAGGATCTGCGGCGGCAACTGATGCAGGCTTCGTTTGTGGAGAAGAAACCAGGCGGTGTGCCGCTCAACGAGCTTCCGCTCGGTGGCTCGCTGGCGGTCTTGAAGGAGTTGCTAAACTGCTACAACGCGGCAGTTCCCGAGGTGTGTGGTACGGGCGATTCCAGAGAGCGGCTGGAGCATCAGATCAACGACATTCTCGCACATGTAGCAGAAGAGTATGTCAGCGGCGCTGGGGACAAAGACCCTATGGAGAACTTTTTGTTTATTGACCAGGTGTCGTCCTTCCTGCAACCACCCATGCAGTCCATCTACGACAAACACCTCAATGATGTGGTCTCTAGGTATGAACTGCTCCAGATGATGCAGTGCATACATGCCATTCACTCCCAATCGCGCATGACGCTCCTCAGCTCACAGAAACTTAACCGCAGATTCCTCCATTGGTGGGAGAAATCATTCGGCTCACCTCTACGCTACATCCGCGGCCTGAGTACGCTCGAGTCGCACCTAGATTACGCCATAACACAGAGTGGTGGTATCTCGAAGCTGCGTGGTATTCTTCTTTACTGCTCGCAGCTCGGCTCGTGGGACTTTGCTGATGTGCCGCTCATCACTGTTGAGAACAACATCCGTGCCCTGCTGGAGTGGGCGGGGACGCAGCAGAAGAATGAGTCCGCAAAGGTGGGCAAAACGGCATCTGTGACGGAGCAGAACGTCGTGGTGGAGTTGCNGCGGGGACGCAGCAGAAGAATGAGTCCGCAAAGGTGGGCAAAACGGCATCTGTGACGGAGCAGAACGTCGTGGTGGAGTTGCAGTCATTCGAGTCGTGCATCTCCGTCACGCCGCACCACACCGACCTCGTGTGGCGCCGGCGTGGCGAGGAGCACTTCCAGGACTCGCTGGCGTTCATGATGGGCCGCTGCTTCTCCAGCAATATGCTGCAAACCATCTTCATCCATGCCCACCGCGACCACCGCATCATGCAGTTCTTCGAGATGGTGCTGTGCCTCGAGACCAACGGTGACTACTTCGACGTGGATGCGTGGATGAACCGCAAGAAGAAGTCTCCGACTCTCTTTCAGGTGTGCGGCAATCAGCTGCTGCACTTCCAGACATTCGGCGACGCCTTCTCGTTCCTGCTGTCGCGGCGCTCGTGGGTGGTGATCGGCGTCTTCCGTCAGTTCCCCAAGTCGGAGGGCCTGCCAGGGTTGCCGCGGTATTTCATCACGAACCCACCGACCGAAATGCCGCTCCGCGCTGACGACGTGATGTACGCACTCTCACTTTCCTCTGCCACAGGCGAAAAAACTGGACCCTAATGTGACTGCAAGTATGTGTGACTCTGTGTGTGTGTGTGTGTGTGTGTGAGAGAGAGAGTGTGTGTGTGTGTGTGTGTGAGAAAGAGTATATGTGAATGAGGAGGAGATGCAAGTGAATGAGCGTCGGAAGGGCGTGTGTGTCTGCCNTCACTTTCCTCTGCCACAGGCGAAAAAACTGGACCCTAATGTGACTGCAAGTATGTGTGACTCTGTGTGTGTGTGTGTGTGTGTGTGTGTGTGTGAGAGAGAGAGTGTGTGTGTGTGTGTGTGTGTGAGAAAGAGTATATGTGAATGAGGAGGAGATGCAAGTGAATGAGCGTCGGAAGGGCGTGTGTGTCTGCCGACGAGCATAGGCAGTGACCTCCCTAGAAGAAGGTATGCCTTTTTAAACGGATATTTGCTGCTTATATATATATATATATTTATATGTCTGCGTGCGTCTGTATGTCTGTCTGTGTGATGCTTCTTTCGACAGCGCGAAGTTATTCAAGGGCCTTCGTCCTTGTGGCATTTCTGGTTTATATGCAGGGGGGCCTGAAATAAATTAAAAAAAAAAAATAGGGCCCATTTCTGCAGCAGAATGGGCAGGGGCGCATTAAGCGCCTGACGCGCCACGCCGCGTGGAGAGGGTGCTGAAATGGACCTACTATGTGATGATAAAGTGGAGAGAAAGTGGAGTGAGTTGAGGAAAGGTGGTACTCACGTTTTTTTTTT